TTTTTTTTATTCAATATACACTAGTAGCTTCGCGGTAATTGGGTTTCTTATCTGTAGGGTTTTGCGGGGAGTAGGGCTTTGTCTCAGTAACTGGTCCTTTCATCCTTGTTGAGAATTAAAGTTTTATGTTTCTTTAACAACTGGCACTATTCTGGGAATTCCATCCTGGCAGGAGTTCCAAAATAAGACCCATGCTCTGATAATGCCTCTAGTTTCAAAGACCAATAAACATTGCCATTATGATTGGTGTTGCAAAGGATAGTTGAATATTGTTTATTGAAATTAATAATCCCCATAACCGTTTTCCAATATAGATAAATTGTAGAACGTAACAAACTGTATAACTCAGTCTCAACAATGAAATAAAGGAATGTATTTATTTACATTATTTATACTTATTTACATTATTTATACTTATTTATTACCGGTATACTTTTATTGCTACTGTACTGATAGAAATACTGTATTTCTAAAGATGCAATAATAATTATTATTATTACTAATGCATTGCAATACAACTAATTCAAATTGAAAGAAATTGCAATATAAAGTATTCATCAGTAATACTTCTCAACGGCGTATTTCGCGGTCAGTGTTATTTACGAAAATATTTGTTTATAATGTTATAAACTTGCTTGGCAATACCCACCCCAATCAGATATAATGTGTACATGTTTTAATAAATAAAGATATACTAACAAAAATGAAATATTGATCATTTCATATTTTATTATATAACCTGCACAAAAGTAATCAATATTTTTCCTTGCTAGAATGATGTGTGACTTCATACGGGAAACCTGATGAAGTTCACAACTGGCGATAGGGATTGTCAACTTCTCGTGAATTTGATTACTAACATGATTAGGTTCATGCGCTGCAAGTTGCAGAGCACGTACCTAAGCGCCTCCCAGCAAATAATTAAGCCAAGGCGGTTTTGATATCAAAATCAAGAAACCCTCCGATTTGACACAATCTGTGTCTTTTACATAATTTCATCAGAAGATCAAGAAACTGAAAATTGCATTTTTACAAAACACTGATACGAGTTGCCAAGCTGGTCAAGATGTAAAAATTCTGTGCTTGTTCCTGAATCTTCACAGTCATTTTGGGGAGGTACACTGTCACCCACATCGCATACTTTTCTCGCAGGTTCAAACCTGTATGGGCCAATTTGTCCCCTGGCACTCTAAAACCAAATCATGACATATGTCGTTGTCATCATATTCCTCGATCTCATAACTCTTGTCAGACAATGATAACATAGATTTTGTGTCGCTTTCCGAGCGCTACATGCGTATAGCGGCCATTGTGAAACGATGACCCCCCCCCCCTGACGTCATAAATCACCCTTGTATGCTAATTAGGCTCTCGAGCTGGAGCCTCGTTCTGAGTCGTCCAAGAAATTGGACGTGGGCGTTTCCTTATACAGAATATTATTATTGATTGTTTATTTAATTTATGTACATTTTTCACTTGATTTTTTTTCATAATGTTGTTTATAAATAAATTTTGCACACAAAAAAGTCAATTGTCCCAATTCAGTTACACTTTAAACAATAGCTTTCTCTGACAATAATACTTAGCAATGTTATTTCCCCCCCACGATAACTTTAAAAATCTTTTGTTTTTCTCTCATTTCTGTTTTCGGTCCCTCCAATACAATTATTTAATAAAAAATGTTTTTCTTTTTTTTTTTTTGCTTTTTTTTCCTGGGATATTTTTCCCTGTGACTTTTTTTCCTACATTCTATAAAATAGGTTGCCTGCCAACAACTGTATTCCACTAACTACCAAGGAATGAATGACCTTTTAATTTACTGTGAAATACTTTATTTTCGCTGGAAGTAATTTTTTGCTCAAAAGGCTTTTCGGGCATTTTGTATGGAATTTATTTTCACTGTTTAATGTGAAATATAGAAAAAAAGTATATTCACTGGATTTTATTTTCACGACATCACCCCTTCAGCGAAAATAAAGTATTCTACAGTATACCACACAGAAAAGTGTAAACAGCTATATGAAAATATTATGAGAAAGACTTGGCCTTTCAACTAATGTCAAAGAGTTGATAATCTACAGGGCCTAGAAAAAGATGTTGGCCTGCTTGAAAGTTGTTGGGCAGAAATGTGTCGATTTGATATGCTATTGTGTGCCTAACTGCAACAGGCATGGAAATTAAAAAATTCTGCGCAGGGCAATGTATTGGATTAATACTTTATATACCAAATTTATGCAATCTCAAAATTTATTTTTTAAATGAACGGATATATGACACAAGTATATGTATACATTGTAATTAATATCTGTCTTTGGTTTATAAATATCTTGCAGATATTTTAAATAGCTTATTGCTATTTCTGAAGATAGAATTTGTTGAATACTAGTATGCTTGTCATAAAAGTAAGTAAACTTATTTGATTTATTTAGGTCTAGAGGCTTTTCACTTGACATCATAAGGCCAAGTTAAACAGGAAGTCAGCCATGTTGGATTCAAAAAATTGAATGTACTGTAGAGGGGTTAATTATTCACTGGGTTTTAATTTGGCTTATTTCGCTGACTGAAAAATGTGCTAAATTAATACCCAGTGAATATGTAAAATTTAGCATAGAACACATTGTCTAAATGATAAAACCGTGAATTTAAAACCCACTGAATATGTCTGAAATGGTAAATCAGTGAAATTTAAACCCAGGGAAAATTAGTCATTTTACAGTATTTTGAATATTACAAGGATTTCTGACAAGGATTGCTTAGTCCTATTAGTTTTAAACAATTCTGTGTTTCCAGTAACACCACCTACCCAAATTAACAAAATCTGAAATTCCATTTTATGCAAATTAGACTTAGAATATTTTATTTTTAATCAGATGAGCCAATGTCATCAGTAGCTTTCCTGTGATCAAATGCAATTTCATTTTTTGTCTAGGATAGCTATACTTCATGGAAGTTAATTGCATCAAATGTTATGAATTTGCTCACAATTTCAAGTTAAATATTCTATCCCACTTCATTGACCTTGATGCCATGTGTTTGCAATTCACATGGTGTGTCCAGATGTAAGAAATTCTTAAAAAGATAGATATCTTGCCTAGTTCCTGAAGTACATTGTTCTAGTAATAGTCCACCAATGTTGACAGTCCCTCAATGTAAATTCTTACAATGATATTTTGCTCACTATTTACAAAAGTGATTTGTTACACAAAGGTTGGTCACTGAAAACAAGAAAACCAATTACTACCTCTTTCATAGGCAAATTATCCATGGCCCTGAACATTTTCATTGTATAATACAAGTACAAATGTAAGCACATACCAGTAAAAATTTGCTAATGTGTGCCTAAACTGTAACAGACATGGAAAATTAAAAATTCTTATTTATATTAGAAAATGCCATGTGTACAGTTGCTATACTAACATCTATATTTCAGTATTATTGGCAAAATAATTTACAGTATGCATCCATCCGTAAATTCAATAATTCAATAATAAGTCATTATATGTAGAGGTAAAGTCACTAGTGGTCGGTAATAACTCTTCAAACATGTGCTTCTTAATCTTTAGAAGTGAATTATTCTTGATTTGGGACTTGAGTATCAAAAACACAAAATTGCTCACACCAGTTATAAATGATCAGAATAGACAGCTTTATAATATAATTCCAATACAATATGCATATTATGAAAGAAGCAGAATGGTTGATTAAATATGATCATATAAACTTGTTGAAAAAAGGTATATCAGAAGAGAAAAATGTGATGATTTTCACAGACTTATCAGGAAGTGATTCTGCATACTGAATTTTTGTTGCAAATTAATGTTTTTAGCGCTTCAACCAAACATGCTTTGCCAATTACAGTGGATTACCAGCAACCTAATATAGCATAACATCACTGATATTATGGATCCAAAAGTTCACTGCTTTTGATGCGTTAAAATACAGAACAGGGACTGTGCACTGTCAATGCTTGTAATAAATGATAGCGATTAGAATGCATTAATTTGACGGGAAAAAATAATTCTCCAACTTGATGCTGACAACAAATTTAAATATTTTTTTTGGCCATAGTATTGTTAAAATTTATTTTGTTGTTAAAAATATGTCAAGTTTCATGTAGGAGGATTTGATTTTACTTGCCACATATGTACACATGATTCACCTATTCGTAACTATCAATAAGCAACAAGATCACTGCAGACTTTTATCATATACCGGTATTTATTTTTTCTCCCCACCAGAATTACAATGTCTAAACGACAGTATTGTCCACATTGTGAAGAGGAGGTTTCATATCGTGTATATAAACGTCATCGTAAAGAGTTTTATAATGATACAACTATGGTTTGGACACCGAGTGAAGATCCATGTGACTCATTACCGTGTGAGATGACTGAATTTACAAACGACAATGAAAGTTATGAGAGTTTGCCATCTTTTGTTGACATTGAAAGTCAGACAGACATTTCCACCAGTGATCATGTTGATGATGATCATGAAATACTACAAACTCTTGAAGAAGAAGACTTATTATACTTCAAGGATCCTGCATATGAAGATAATGAATTTCTCTATGAGAATAACATTCAATCTGAAATTTGGGACAATGTTACAGAGAAGGATTTGAGGGAAGATTTTGTAGAGAAATTAGATGGTAGCAGAAGTGAACTTTTTGTGTTGGCAAATGTTGATGAACCAGAGAGCTCAAAATTGTTGACATTACTGAATTGGTTTTGCTTGTTTTTAGCATACATGTGGTATTTTCACAATCTATCAGATGTTTGCATGGCCATGTTACTTGGTTTTTTGAAAACTTTTTTTGTATTATTAGCAAATGTCTTTCCTTGTTTGGGTGCTTTGAGCACACTGCTTCCAGGTAGCTTACATAAATTGAGAAAGCATATTGGATCAAATCAAGATAAGTTCACTAAATTTGTTGCGTGTCGTAAATGCCATGCAATATATGAATTTGATAAGTGTTACAAAAGTGTAGGTAATCAAAATGTATCTGCTACATGTACATTTATCGAGTTTCCGGGGCACAGACAAAAGAAACAGAGACAACCCTGTGGTGAGCTGCTACTGAAAGAAGTGGAATTGCAAGGCAAAAGGAAGAGACTCTACCCATTCAAAGTGTATGGGTACCAATCTGTTAAGACTCGTCTTACCAACTTACTGCAAGTAGATGGGTTTGCCAAGAAGTGTGAACAATGGCGAAAACGGAAACCTGGTGATGGAATTCTTGCTGATGTATATGATGGGAGAATTTGGAAAGAATATCAGCATGTAAATGGGGAGCCCTTCTTGGCTGCTCCAAAAAATTATGCATTTCAGTTAAATCTAGACTGGTTCACTCCCTTCAAGCATGTACCTTATAGCGTTGGAGCCTTATACATGGTGGTATTGAATCTACCAAGAGCAGAACGTTATAAGAAAGAAAATGCAATATTGGTTGGTTTGCTTCCAGGTCCTAGAGAACCATCATTAAACGTAAACTCGTACATTACACCATTAGTCGAAGAGCTCAATACGCTCTGGACAGATGGACTTACGTGTGACTATACAGAATCTGGAAAAACATACAATGACACATTCCATGCTGCATTATTAAGTGTGGTGTCAGACGTGCCTGCAACCAGAAAACTGTGTGGTTTTGTTGGTCACATGGCTAGAAAAGGTTGCTCCAAATGTGAGAAAGAGTTTCTAACTGGGGCATTTGGCGAAAAAATTAATTTTGGAGGATTTGAGCCAGTGAACCACAGGCACAATTTAAGACACCGGCATCAGGCTGAACAGGTTTCCAACGCAACAACCAAAGCGCAGAGAGATAGGCTGTCCACAAAATATGGTTCAAGGTACACAGCTTTGCTAAAGTTGCAATATTTTGACTGTGTTCGCTTTCATGTTGTGGACCCACTGCATAATCTTTTTTTAGGTACTGGGAAATACATCATGAAGAATGTGTGGCTTAACAAGGAGAAACCAAAGATATCCAAAGATCAGCTTGAAATTATCCAGACCAAGATTGATAACACCAAGGTTCCTTCAGATATGGGAAGAATGCCATTGAAGATAGCAACAAGTTTTGGTGGATTCACTGCTGATCAGTGGAAACATTGGATAACCTTGTTTTCTGTTTTTAGTTTGAAAGATGTTTTACCTCGGAAGGATTTTGAAATGTGGCGCCTATTTGTACTGGCTTGCAATTTATTGTGTGCTCCAGTAATATCAATTAGGAATGTTGGAAAGGGTCATTCATATTTGATGAATTTTTGTCGCCAGTTTGAACAATTGTATGGATCACAGCTAGTTACACCGAATATGCACTATCATGCGCATCTTGCTGACTGCATATTGGATTATGGCCCAGTGTATTCTTTTTGGACTTTTCCCTTTGAACGTTTCAATGGGATCCTCGGTGAGGGCTGTGGTAACCAGAGGTCTATTGAAATACAAATAATGCGTAAATTTCTCAATGAACAGTTTCTGTCTATTTTGCCAAGGCCAGTTGATTTGGAAGTTGATTTCAGCAAGTTTTTCCCTCAAAATGTGCAAGCTGGTTCAGTAGCAGAATCCGCGTGTGATTATGATAACCTACTTAAGCTTTCATGTCTAGCAAGGGATAATATTGCATGTGCTTATGCCACTGTGTTGAAGTCAGTTAAATTCTTTGTACCCATTGGGCCTTTTCATATGGAGTATTTTGATGATGCATGGCTTAGTAACCTGAAAGAAATGTATAAAATTGTATTTAGTGAATGTGAAGTTAAGGATGTCAGTGGATATGTCAAACAATTTGCAGCTGTAAAGTTATTTAATGATGTATTAGGATCTGAAAATTCGCGATATAGTCGTTCTTCATTAATTCTAGCGTCATGGTGTACCTTGGGTGGCCAAATTGATACAAACCTGGCAAATGACCAACCAGGTATTATTGAATTCTTCTTCACACAGTTTCTCACTATTGATGGTAAACAAGAACAATGCATGATGGCTAAAGTTAGATGGTTTCAAAAACATCCATCTCTAGACTACTACGGTAAACCAGTTGAAGTTTGGTGCCCAACCTCGTTTGAGATGTCAGGACCAGCTTCATTCATTCCGGTTCAAAGAATTAAAAGCAAGTTTATTGCTGGATTTGATAAAATTAAAAGAGAGAGGATAATGTGTGTGATACCAAGGCCACTCAAGATTTACATATGAGTGCTCAGATAACGTAATTTCATTTTAATAGTTGTACACATGTTGCTGTAAATCTATTACTCATGTATGAAATCAGACTTGCTACTGTGTGTAAAAATGAGTTACCTTACATAATGAAAAGATGACATTTATTCAGTTTGTATTTATATCTTTATGAGATGGGAGTTGCATTGTCAGATGCTTAGTTTTTTGTAAATACAAATGAAATTAATACTAGAACTATGTCAATGTTTGTATTCTCAACCTGTATGTGTGCATGATGTGTGCTAGAAGAATGACCCCCCCTGCTGTGACCTTCAACACTTATTTCTGATATTAAGTTTACCTGTTGCATTACATTGTGAATCATACAATAATATGCCAACTTTCGGAGTCTATGCATAGTCATTTTAACTGTAAATCATCTGCTCCTATTGGGAAACAATAAGCCTGATTTCATTGTGAATGGGTAAAGACGCAATGTATAAAATGTCATTGTTACATCAAACAAATACTTAGTTACACAAAGAAATACAGGATATGTTATTGAATTAAATTATTTAATTAATTGCACTCTAGTGTTTAAAATATGTATTTAGACACCCCCCCCCCCACAATTGAGTTTAAACATAAAAACCAGGTCGAATTTTATACTCTGCTTTGCCCTACTGTTAGGTGTCGGGGTAGGGTAGCTGATCAGGCACAATATTTGCCATAATTGGTTTTAACATGCAAGAAATAACAAATTAGTAGTGCTTGTGCTTATGCAAATCATATGTGTATTTATTGTCAAATTGTCATATTTTAATGATTTTAATAAATTTGGAGTAATTGTGATGGCCACAAGGTCATATCTACAGAATCCAACCTCCATATATGGTGGATCGTATTGGATGCCGGGTTATATTATGTAAAAAAAATAGCGATATGAATAAATTAAAATATAAATGACAATTAAAAATAACACATTTTAGTAGAAAACTACTGCCTGAGTTTGGATCTACTACAACCCCCCCCCCCCCAACACACACACACACAAAGGGAGGGGAACTTGAAAAGTAGTCTTTAAACACAGACTGGAAATTCTAATTTTAAATTTGCTGGATTCTGAATTTTTTATATGTCATTTTTTTCATTTCAATATGGCAAGTAAATAATGGGTTAAATAAAACTTGATGTGGAGATGATCTGCGATAATACGCAGGCCTGATTAGTTTTGGCATTATTTAATTTGTATAATTAGTAGCTTCGCGGTGAGTGGCTTTGGCAATGATTGGCTTTTCATCGGAGAATCTAATGTTGTATGTGTCATTAATCTGGAAATACCATGTATAATTAAAATGATACAAAGTACATGTATATGAGATACCAATCTGATTAAAATTTGATGTAGTGTACGGGATTTAATTATTTTGGCTATAAACTTATTTTAATTTTATTTTTTATTACTTTTGTTATTGATGCCCTTTTATTTCATTATTTTACTTTGATTTTGATTTTGTGATTTTTTTTAATTCCGCCCTACCTACATCTGACCCGATGCCTATGTAACGAGATTTCAACGAGACCCACTATCGACGATTTTAGTCAACGAATCATAGACCTCCTTCTCTCGCGCACACGGTGACGTCACCGGGCAGAGTCAGGTGGCAAACACACTCAAATAAAATGGCGGATTATACCGATGTTTTGTTGACGATCGGGCCAAAATCGTCTACGGTATTGAAGCTGTAAATATTCATCAAATTGTATCAACATTTTGTACATTATACAATAACTCTTTATTAAAGTAATTGAGCTGATTTGGACTGGAATAAAACATTTTTTATTTGGAACACATCGCAATTGATCAGGAAATATTTGTTTGCTCCAATTTTCTGCGTCGATGCCGTGGGCCGGTGACCGTTATATAATTTAAAATCAGTTTGCATTGTTTACTATAGCTGTTTACAGTGTTCTAATCATTACGATTTACTTATTTTTTTGCTTCCATTCTCGATAATTATGCTCAGTGATGTAAAATTGAAGCGATGACTGGATGAACGAACCTTGGCTGGCGAAGATGTATCTGGAAATATTCAATGTAATGACAAAAATTGTAAAATGCAGTGGAATTTCTTTTGTAAATAAAAATATACTAGCAATTTTCTATTAATGCTTTATTTAAGTGGGCAAAATATAATGTACAGAAAGATTGCCCGTATACACTGAAAAGTAAGCAACCGACAGCCTGTATAAAAGGGGGCTGTGATTGGCTGTTACTTACGCGAGATTTTAACGGGACTTACATAGGCGTCGGATCAGATGTAGGTAGGGCGGAATTAAAAAAAAATCAAAATCAAAGTTAAATAATAAAATAAAAGGGCATTAATAACAAATATAATAAAAAATAAAATTAAAATAAGTTTATAGCCAAAATAATTAAAGCCCGTACACTACATCAGATTTTAATCAGATTGATGAGATATGCATAAATGATACACACTAATGAGAAAACGCCTTTCACGTTAAGTGGTATTTAAGAAAATATTTGTTCACAATTTTATAAACTGGTTTGGAAATTCCAAGCACCAATACAAATTTACATAATTTTGTTCACTTTCCATCTGTACATTGTACTATGATTGTATATTTTAATACATACCGTACACACTATTTATCATATAACTTGGACGAAAGGTTAAAAATGGATTATTTTTCCATGCCATGAAACATTCCCCCTATCTGTTAACTTCATATTTTAGTATAAGGTAGTGAAAAATTATATACGTTAACTAGGATGTATATATCCAAGCTAGTTTCTAGTGCATCCTCTCATATTACTTGACAATATAGCCTACAAATATTTTGTAAGCTATATAATTGGTATACGTTAATTCGGATGTAACAGAAATAAGTAAAAGTTGTATTTAATTGGTCGTAAAAGGGCTGGAGGAGACGTAAACAGTAAAAACAAACGACAA